AAGAAGACAGAACTCTTGGAATATTTCTTCCAATAGGCATCTTTATTAAGAGAAGATGGTTGCAGGCGTTCTAAACAGGACTTGGGGTGAAAGCTTTCCAACTCAAGATTTTAAAGGGGTCCCCCCTTTAGCCACCCCCATCACCCCCTTCTCCCAGAGACAGTCTCAGGCATTTCATCCCCACCCCTTTCCTCACTACAGAGAGGAAACTTCAGGAAGGATCACATGAAAGCTAATGACCCCCTATTGTTATTGTTAGTCCTTTTGGTGATTCCACATCCAGTCCCTTTGAAGTAGGCTGAAGGAAGTGAGGGCCATAAAGCCCCTTTGTTCACCCCCTTCCCTTCATCGTATGACAGAATCCAGAGCAGGCAGAAATGCGGGGTTTCATAATTGATAACTACAGATGGAGTATATTTGGATTCTGACATCTGTAATAGTCTATCAATTAATTGCACTGACAGAGACTGATTTAGGATTTAAAAAAATATCTATTATGGAATAATTAAATCTTGTCCCCTCTCTGGATTTGGAGCTATTCATAAGGAAGAGTAGAAGCACATTTACAGGTAGTCCTCAACTTATACCAGTTCATTTAGTGACCGTTCAAAGTTAAAATGGCACTGAAAAAGTGACATGACCATTTTTCACACTTAACGACCATTGCAGCATCCCATGGTCATGTGATCAAAATTCAGATATTGGCAACTAACTCATATTTATGACGGTTGCAGTGTCCCGGGATCATGTGATCAATTTTTGCAATTTTCTGACAAGCAAAGTCAATGGGGAAGCCAGATTCACTTAACAACCAGATTACTAACCTAACAACTGCAATTATTCACTTAACAGCTGTAGCCAGAAAAGTCATAAAATGGGGCAAAACTCATTAACAAATATCTCACTTAGCAACATAGATTTTGGGCTCCATTGTGGTTGTAAGTCGAGGACCACCTGTATTTATTTATTTGTCTATTTACCCTTTTTTAGGCTAAATTCTCCACAACAGCTCAGCAAAAGAAGGGAAACCCTCCAACATGCAGCTTGCCAAACAGAAATAGCTGAGAAGGATGATCTCCAGAATGATAGCTTTGATCACTTCCTTAGCAGCTTCTTCTAGGAATTTCTTTCACCATGCTACTATTAATTCAGTTTCAATGAATGTTGTCACGAAGGCTATATCAAAATTTCTGTTCTATTCAACTGAAATTGAGAAATATATTTCCTTTTCTTAGTTGTATTCTAGACATAACATATTGTTTCTACTGTAGTTAAGAAAGGTCAACAGAAGTAAATGCTTATACTGAGAACTGTTCTTTGACATGCAACTGAATTTTATTACAGCACAGAATATACTAGTGAAAATAGTTTTTATGAACATGCTGGGTTACATTTTTTACACTGTACTTGTTAACATTTGTACCATTGTATGCATATGGAGACAGGGACCATAAATGAAGTAGGGTTTTTTTTGGATGTTCCTATTTTTTTAATAAATATATATTTTAAGAATGTGTGATTTCAATTCTAATTTAGTTTTATTCTAATAATGTGAGTGTTGTATTCTTAAAACCATTCTTGAATGTCAGCACCTTGAGGAGAACAGAATTCCAAGTGCCTTACCTAAGTTCTGCATAAAAAAATGTTTGCAGTGGTTCAAGTATCTGGAGTGATATCTCTCCATTCCTTTAAAAATGGTGATTTCCATACTGATGAGGTTCTAGAAACAATATATTTGATTATAAAACTAAGCAAAGTTCAATGGCATGTTTCTGTTTTCACAATACTGTGGGGAACAATGAAGAGCAATTGAGGCCTCAAGGATTTTTGCCTTGAATTTTACATTCATGAAAATGAAGTTGATCTGGACTTCAAACTAACTGGATGAGAGACTGCTCAAATTTATACATACCTATCCAAATTTTACAAACAAAAATATTTAAAAGGGGCAAAAAAAGATAATTGCAAAATCCCTGCCATCCAATATACGGCTTGAACCTCTGGGTCTTCCCACAAAATAAGACTGCTCAAAGAGGTGATCACCAAAGGCTTAATTAACCTTTTTTTAAAAAAAACTGAATCTAATTTATGTCTTATCACAGTAAGCTAAGATGACACTGCCCAGTTTACAGTTAAGTGTATCGTGAACATATCTGTAAGGTGACTCCTATAATACTGGATAAGTACAGGTAGTCCTTGACTTACAACAGTTCACTTAGTGACCGTTCAAAGTTACAATGGCACTGAAAATAGTGACTTATGACCAGTGCTTTTTTTCTAAAAAAAAAAAGGTGCTGGAACTCACACACATCATACAACCCGACTTGCCTACCCTACAAGGTTCTATCCAAAAAAGGTGCCGGAACTCCGTTCTGGCGTTCTATGAGAAAAAAAGCCCTGCTTATGACCATTTTTCATAGTTATGACCATTGCAGCATCCCCAGGGTCACATGATTTACATTCAGATTTTTGACAACTGACACATTTATGACAGTTTCAGTGTCCCGGAGTCACGTGATCCCCTTTTGCATCCTTCTGACAAGTTAATGGGGAAGTCAGATTCACTTAACAACCATGTCACTAACTTAATAATTGCGGTGATTCACTTAACAAATGTGGTAAAAAAAAGTCATAAAATGGGGCAAAACTCACTTTTTTCTCTTAGCAACATAAATTTTGGGCTCAATTGTGATCGTAAGTTGAGGGCTACATGTATGCAATTTGACACTAGCCATATTTAATGGACAGTGAAGACTGGCATATGCCATATGTTCTTTTCAGTCCCAGAAAGGTAGCAATGGTTACTGAATTACCAAGATCTCTAATTGTTCTAAGTGCCAAGTTGAATAGGCCAATTACTGTCTTTTAATGTGATGTGTAGACACCATCACAGATAACTTTCCAGCCGCTCTTCTGACTCCAGGTAGGAAAGGCACCTTGAAGTATGTTTTGCACCACGTGAGCTACTTTGCTTTTACGCCAAAGCAGAACGTCAGTATGCAAATGACGGAGGTCGGCCCATCATGCACTGCGGGCGCTCTAATTTCTCGGTGCACTACCTGCGATGCCGGCGCGCGGTCAGATTGCCGGGCGACGGTTGCTGCGGCTTCTGTCGCGACTCGCGCCATCGCCTCGGGCCTTCTGCGCGGCGGAGGAGGCGCAGCTGCGGCCCTTGCCGGCCGAGGTCCGTGCGTCGAGCGAGGCTCTCTGGCGAAAGCTGCAGGCCGGCAGCGCTTCGGTGACGCCGGACTTCATTAGCGAGGAAGAGGAGGCGTTGCTGGCTCAGGAGCTGGAACCGCAGCTGCGCCGACACCGCTATCAAGACGAGCATTGGGACGGGGTGGGTGGCTCTGCGTGGCTTCGAGGAAAATTCAGCGGGGCTCCTTGGCCCGATATTGATGCTGAAGTGTAGTTGGCTTAGGATCGGCTTCGTGTTTTATGTGAGCCTCCTTAACTGACCTTTGCGCCGTTTATGATTGCAGTGGCTTATTCAACAAATCAGTTATCGGAATGTTTCAAGCTTCCTAGTTTAGAACATATGTGGAGAGAGCAAGTAGACTTAATGGATCTTATTAAACACGCATAGGGGTTCCCAAATTAACCACACGTTGTGGGTTTACACAGCATACTATAATAAACCACAAACAAGCCTTTTGGATTACTTTGCCCAATACATTAGATTAAAATAATGTTAGCTAGTTTGTGGTTTATTGTGCCTTGTGAAGACGATGAATATTGGGTGTTGTCATAAGATGGGAAGATGGGCATTCTAGTTTTTGTAAGATGGGACAATATTACTATGTGGAACAACATAAAGGAGATATCTTGCCCTCCCTATTTAAAAATAGAATGCTTTGTATCCCAAATATGATACTGTTGTACTCTACTATTATATAGCCATTCTAGCCTGATATTGTTTTCACTTGTTTCTTTTCTCACTGGAAATGGTACGATTAATAGTCTGGGCATGAATACTTCTCTGAATTTTGATTTCTTGCATTCATCTCCTGTGGAAGAGCTGCTGCTACTACTGGCTGCTGTTGGGTGAAGCTACTGAAAGCTATTTGCTTGGATGGTAATATGCTAATAAGCATGTCTTTGATGCTGGTTGTTATGATGCTACAGCAGGAAACGATGGATGCGTATCTTGTGGGCTTCTCAAGGGTTTCTGATTATAATGCTAGGAAACTGCACTCATCATTATGTTAGTTTTTAATTTTGCCTGAGTTATCATTTGTGCCTGAGACATGGACAATATAAATAATAGTTTACTTAAGGTTAAGTAATTAAGAATAATCATAAATATATCATCCAGATATTGTGCTGTTTGTGGACTAGAAATATAAATATCAACTGAACGAGGTTGGGATATGGCAAGATCCAACATATTAGCTATTGCAGCCAATCTTGTCTACGTGATAAGTTTTTTCATTACTTGATTAGTGTTGAATAAAATTATATACTTTTCATTTAAATGTCCTTTCTAATGAATTTGGCTCAGATGTTTAATTGCCATTCATTTGTAAACTCAAGTATGTGTTTAGACAATGAATAGAATTTTAACTTGAAGTATTTTTATCCCACCTTAATGTTTATGTATCCTTTTTATGTGAAGTATTTGGAAAATACAAACCAAGCAGTTTTATGCAAACTATTAAATAAAATATATCTATGCTATATTTTACTGGTGTGAACTAGCTTTTTACTAATAAATCAGGATGTGAATATTAGATCCCTTGTATTAAATCTAAATTCCTTTATTGAAACTCATTGTTTAAATGTTCCTTCATTTGCAAATAAGTGTGCACAGATCAGTTCTTTAATCTGTACTCTCCCTCTCCCTCTTATCTCCTACCCAACTTTTCACAATAAAAACAGCTTTTTTAATGATTCAGTAATACATGAGTCTGTACTGTAATCATTTATTGTAATGCTATGTCCATTTCTTACAAACCATATATTTGTTGGCATTTGATCAATCAAACCTGATAGCTTTGGTACAGTTAATTTCTATAGAAGGATTGTTCTTTTCTATATTCCCTAAACTACTGGGAAAAGGTGAAATAAAACTTGTTGGTTCATAGAAAATCCCAGTCATTGACTGAGTTCACATGCTAAATTATGGTTTGTTTAGAAATAAGCTAATGCAGTTGTTTGGGTTTGTTTAACATAATAAGCCATATTAAGCAAAGCCAAATCACAATATAGTGGGATGGTGACCCCAGAATGTTAGATGAACGCTGTCAAGTTGTCCACATTTCACATCTTTCTTTAGAATAAGATGGTACCATATTTTCAAACTAATTATTCGGTATTTGATTATGAGGTGTTTCAAATGAAATATGTATGTGAGGCAAGGTAAAAAGGTTATCCATGACATTTGGTGTTTTATCACAGTGATTAGCATGAGATTCTTTTTTTTCAATATTTTATTAATTTTTTATAGTCACAAATCCTTAATATTTTATCAGCAACATAGTGTCTGGGTTCCAATGTTTAGTTTATTAATATATGTTACACTCCTTTCTCTCTACCTCCTTTTTCTAGCCATTGATAAAATGTATCCCATGTTGTAAAGTAATCTGAATCTTCTTTCTCTTTCATTTTTAGTGTCTGTCTGTCCATTTTTGCCCAATCTAAAATTTTCTTAATTATCTCTTCCTCCGCTGGTAATTCCTCATCCTTCCAATGTTGAGCAAATACAATTCTTGCTGCAGTTAATACATGTAACATTAAATATACACATCCCTTCTCATAATTTCCTATAATTATACCTAACGAAGATACTTCTGGCTTAAAATCTATGTGTTTTTTAGTCATTTTATCTAACCATATATGTATTCTTGACCAAAATCTTTTGACTTTGGGGCATGTCCACCAAAGATGATAATATGTGCCTGGTTTTTGTCTACATTTCCAACAATTGCTAGACATATTTTTAAACATTTTCGCTAATCTCACAGGTGTTAAGTGCTATCTGTAGAACATTTTGTATAGGTTTTCTTTGTAAGTCACTGCCTTTGTATTTTAGAATTTATTTCCCAAAGACTTTGCCAGTTTTCTAACTTGATGTTATGCCCAAAGTTTTTTGCCCATGTTATCATTGTTTCTTTAACTTGTTCCTCTTCCATCTTTAAACTTAACATGTACAGTTTCTTAATCAATTTTTCATCTGATGTCAATAATATCTGATCAAATTCTATCTGTTCTTTATAAAATCCAGATATTTTAACATATTTTTCATATCTCATTTGAATTTGCAAGTGTGGCCACCATGATAGATCAATGCCCTGTTCTTTCAGTTCTTGTCTGGGTTTTAGTTTCCCTTCAGTATTCAAAATGTATTTATAGGTTACAATTTTCTCATGGTTAATTAAGTATGGGTGAACAAACGGTTCCATTGTTGAAGCCATCCAGATATTTTCATGTAGATTTTCGCTTTTACTTTTTCCCATTCTAGAAGAAGTGGGTTTCTTATGTAGTGGTTTTGAAAGTATCTATGTATTTTATTCTTCCCATACCGTGAGAAGGCATGCCATCCGAGATGTAGGTCATGCCCCTCTAGGTATAGTAATCCTTTATCTCTAAAAGTTATCCATTCTTTTAACCAAGTTAATACAGATGGCTTGATAATATAAGCCCAATCAGGCAGGCCAAATCCTCTATTTTCTTTTGCTTCTTGTAACATTTTCAATCTAATTCTAGCTTTTTTTCCTTGCCAAATAAATTTCAAAATCAGTGTATTTAATTCATCCCCCCCAAAAAAATTCCCCCAGTTTTATAGGTATTTAATTATGAGGTGTTTCAACTGAAATATGTATGTGAGGCAATGTAAAAAGGTTATCCATGACATTTGGTGTTTTATCACAGTGATTAGCATGAGATTCTGTAGTCATCACAGGAGTGCATATATATGGGTGATCAAACATGTAAATGGCTATCTCATTTTCTTTCTGGATATTCATGCCTTCTCTTTTCATTTTTGTAGGCTATTCATAAGTATCGGGAGACGGAAAAATCATACTGGAGCAAAGAGTGTCATGAGATCTTACAACGAGTCCGGAGTGTTGCTTTTCCCCCAGGAGTACCACAGCTCGCTCAAGTCCACGTCCTGGATTTGGATAAAAGTGGCTACATAAAGCCTCATGTAGACAGTGTCAAGGTAAGATAGCATAGAATCTACAGATTACTAGAAAGTGTTCTTTTGTAGTTTTTCCTATAGTTTCATAGAGTTGCATGATGGACCTTAGAGGAAGACTTAATAAGTTGTGGCACATATTTATTGCGACTTATTTCAAAATGACATTTTTTACTATTCCTGTGAAAGTTGGTTTTGTTCCTTGAATTGTTGATTGTTATGAAGAAATTTTCATTGGGAAAAGGTGAATCTTTTACTTTTGGGAAAGTTATATAATAAGAGTGTTTTGGCTGAATTTCCAGAACTTCCTCCAATATCAAGGGTCAAACATTTTTTTTCTGTGACCCTAGTACAGGGTTTTTCAACCAATGGTACGCATACGTGAGAGGCTTTTGAGAGCAAAGAGTGAGTGAGAGCAAGCAAGAGGCTTTTGCAAGCTGAGTGAGTGAGAGCAAGCGAAAGGCTTTTGCAAGCAGAGTGAGTGAGCAAGAGGCTTTTGCGAGCAAAAGGTGAGAGAAAAAGGGAAAAGTGAGGGGGCGAAGGGAAAAAGAAAAGAAAAGGCATTGACTTCTGACTTCCTCTGTTGCAGTAGAATGAAGCATTAACATTGAATCTCAACTTTTTATTTTTCTATAATATTATAAACTAACCATTTCTATAACAACAAATGAATCTAAACAGTAAAGCCCCCCCCCCCTGTTTTTTAGTCATTAAGTTTTTCACACCTTGCTAAGCACTGGTGGTACTCGAATGTTGTCATGTCCTAAAAGTGGTATAATATGTGAAAAACCCTACCCTAATAGACTTCAACACAAGCAAACCTGTTTTCCCTGAAGCATATATAGGCATCTGTCCTTTGAGAAGAAACAGCTGAGATGCCATTGCTGCCATTTTAATCCTAGTAGTCAATTCAGGACTGAATGATATATACTTGCTGTCCTTATTCTAATGTCTTCTAGATGGATTGGACTTTAGTTCTTATAATCTCTGGCCAGCTTGACCTCATTAGGTTGGAAGATTATTTTATAAATTTGCTTGGCAATGGCAAAGTGTATTCTAACCTTGATCAGAAAAACAAATGCAAAATGAAGACAGCAGCAGTTTTAGAAATTAATCAGATTAATCAAGAAGAGATCCCAGAAACGAGCTATAAGTTGAAGAGATGATTCTTGAAGGTGGTGCAAGAATCCATTAATTTTTAGCAGTGTCCTTAAATTCAGTTTGTCTATGGAGATTCTCCGTCATCCAGGCCATGGTTGTCCCAAAGTTTTCAAAGCTAACTGGGCTTTGTTTTTCCTTGAAGACATTTTGCTTCTCATCCAATAAGTTTGTTCAGTTTTGATTGATGTCAGAATTTATATTCCTTGCAGTCATCTGATCTTTAGCACTGTTTCTGAGAGTCGTTGAGGTCACTTGGAGGTTTATCTGTGCTCTCAGAGTCATTGAAAGGACTATGTTGTAAACAGGAGATAGGTGTTGTTGTATCTCTCTCCCTCTGTTGAGAGAGGGCTGTTCAATCTTAATATAGATGGTCTTTTTGGCCCCTCTTTCAATCCAGTGGTTCTCTCATCCAGAATGTGGACTTTGCTGTCTTCTAAAGAGTGACCTTTGTCTTTCAACATTGTCTTTACAACACAATCCTTCTGCAGTTCCAAGAAAGTTCCACACCAATTTGCACTATCCAGGTGACCCTGAGGGCACAGGTAAACCTCCAAGTGGCCTCAATGACTCTCAGAAAGGGTGCTAACGACCAATGACTGCAGGGAATATAAATCCTTCTATCCCCCATTATTTAGTCAGAACTGAAGAAGTGAAATGTCTTCAAGAAAATACAAAGTCCAGTTGCCTTTTGAAAAAGCACTTTTGGGACTTAAATTCAGATTGCTTTTTAATGAGAAAAGCAGTTGGCTTTGTTATTATATTCATGTACAGTATAATGTACTAGTGACCCCTAGTTGTTAAGATTAAGTCCTTCCTGAAGTAATAAATTTGTATTTGGACAATAGAATTTCAGTCTACAGGTGAGATTCATGTAAAGAAATGCTTTTCTGTGCAAAACAATTCCCTGAAATGCAGTATTATCTCTGTAAGCATGAAAGGTTTGAGCTAGTAGTCCTCCTTATATTCCATATCTGTCTATCTACCTCCACAGAATTTGTGAACTTCCATATGCAACTTCAACTTAGTCAGTGTTTTATAAATTTAAACAAATCTCATTGACAACTAGACTCATCTATTCCTCTGTGGACTAATTGGTTCCTATCAGAACATTGATTGTTCTGATAGGGAGATTGTTGTCTATCAAGACTTGCATAATAAATCAGCTGTGCAGTCCTATTCATGCCTACACAGAAGTAAGACCCATCTTTGACAGCATGAAAATGTGATTCAATCACTGGAAAAAAAAGTCTGTAAATTTAGTATCTTGCTCATATTCATGTCATGAATCTGATGGCAAGTCTTTCCACCCCACAGTGCCCTAATGGTTTTTTTTCTAGGTGATAGAAAAAGAATGTCTGTCCAATTGCAACATGAAACTCGGGCCAACCTTATCTCCTAATATTAGTTAATAAGTGATAGATATTTTGTATTATTCTAATCCCATAATGTTTATATTTCCTTTTGCTAGTTCTGTGGCTGCACCATTGCAGGCCTGTCCCTCCTGTCTTCAAGTGTAATGCATCTGGTTAGTGAACAGAATCCACAGGACTGGCTGGATCTTCTGCTGGAGCGCCGATCTCTCTACATTCTTAGGTAATAAAAATTGCTTGGTTAAATAATCAGGCTAGGTGACTAGCTTTTTTGTTTTTCAGTAGTAACTAACTAGATGCTTCTGTGATTGTGGTTTTCAGAGATACATGTTTCTCTATATGCAGTTCTGTATAGCTATTGTATCTAGGAGCCTCTGATAGATTAATTCTTCCATGATATTCCTCACCATCACTTTTTGGAATGTATTCTATTCCCAAGATCAGTCCTGGATTCAACATATATTCTATGCTGAAATTATTAAGAACACAAATGCTACATTTTATAGGCTCAAAGAAAACTAATTAAAGAATTCTTTGAGTAATGCCTGTTCCATCACTTTGAGACATACTGACATTAGTTAGAGATTTCACTTAAGAATAATGAGTCAAATGCACTGATTTTTCTCCATAAATATGAGAAATAGTTCCTGCCATTGCCATAGTTGTACATTATCTTATTGAACCTGGCACTCTTCTAATATTTTAGCTTACAACTTCTATCAGCCCTCATAACTGACCATATTAGTTATGTTTAATAGGAGCTGTGTTCAGTGAATTCAGCAGGTACTACATTAGAGGAAAGTGCTGTTAAGCATATGGAAAAATGAGTCAATTTATATATATTATATATAAACAAAATTATAATTCTCTATAACAAGTATGCAGCTTCATGAGCCTTGAGCTTGTACACTTCACCTTTCCCTCCTCTGTGGAGGGAGGAGGAGATTAGAAATGTCTATTTCTGTTATTAATAAATCATGGTACCCTGTTACATCAAAACCTAAGGAACAGTGGTTTGTTAGAATAAAAGAAAATCAAGCTGTAGTTTCACATTTGGGATTCTTCTGTCAGATTGCAGTTCCCTAACTTTGGAATGTAATAGAAATCTGCTTTGTTCAATAAGGAGGAGATTGTGTTGCTTCCTTGTAGGTGCTTGGTAGTTAGGACTTGTCCATGAAGTAAGAAATATCTAATTTGATTATAGCTTACAGAAATTAATGAGGAGCCATAGCCGTACATATACATGAAATAGTCTGGGTATTCACTGTGAACAGAACTAGAGATACTTTTAAGAATTGCAGAAAGAACTAAGCCAGTGTTTTGTTTCTGAATCAGGAGCCTTCTTTTCAGACTCTTAATTGTGCATGGCGTCAATTGGGACATTTACTGATGTCTTCTCTAATGTCTTCTTTGAATAAAGAGGGCCTGCTCGTTATGAATTCACTCATGAAATTCTTAAAGACGAGGAGTCCTTTTTCGATGGAAGGAAGGTCGCCAGGGAACGAAGGATCTCTGTCATCTGTCGAAACCTGCCCTTACCATCAGAACCATCCTAGAACTGCCAAGTGATACTGTGACGGCTAACTGTTGCTCCCAGGTGGAATTTAGTTTGTTGTCCAATTGATGTGGTGGTCTTTCTGCACAAATATCTCTGACCTGCTTTTCTACAGAACTTTGGTTTTCTGTCCAACAGTAAGCGATAAAAGCATTCTTCCATGCAGTCAAGGGAGCCTAAAAGTGCACATTGTCTAAGAAAGTGTTCTGCCTCTCACACTTAACAGGCAGGAAGAAGGAAATATGCCACAATTTGGCCAATAGACCTAACTAAAATGAACCACAACACTGCTAATCTCAGGGAACAACATTTTTTTCTATAATGTGTGTTGCTGCAAACATAGATGGGGTGAAATTAAGAATTGAAATGTACAGGTTTATTTTTAGGGGGTTATCAGTGTATTGTAATTTTTAAATTATCCTTTAATTGCTTTTCCAGTTACTGAACTATTAAACACTGTTTTCTTCTCTGCTCAGTATTTAGTATCATACCTGCTGAGCCTCAAAATAGTGAACTTGGCAAAACAGATAGATAGATGTTCACTAGTGCTATGAATTCTTTCTAAAAGGGGTTGGCTGAAAATGAGAATTACATCTTTGATGCTTGTGGCCATCAAATATGTAGATGAGAGCAGGGCCTAAGCTAATTGCACTATTATTTTTTTATAAATGTGTTGCCAATTTTTTGAATGGTAAAAAAAGTACTTGAATTTTGAATTTTCTCACAATTGATGCTGCAACTGAATATGTTTAATTCATTTCTGTGAATTAAATAATTTCAAAATGATTCCAATAGGTGTCATAAGCACAAGATCAGCTTTAACATTTAGATATTTAAAAATAAATAAATGAAAAAGCTAAGTTGGAGTATCTCTAAATGAGAATTTGACTGTGGAGGGTATTCAGTGGGAATAGGAGAAATCTCCACATTTTGACTTGCAGCATCAGCATCAAAATACTGAAGAGAAAAGAGCTAAAATGAAGAAGTGGAAGACAAGTCAACAGTCTTGATTATAAAAAAGGAAGTGTTGAGGAATGTGGAAATAGATAGCACTTATCTAATCTTTGATTCGGGATGTAGTAAAATATGAAGAGACTAGGGCTGAATCTGTGGTCTCCTATTGCTCAGGACTAGAATCCAGTTCTATTTACAACCAGGAACACCTGACTCTGAATGGCTCTATCTCTTCTTTATATTTCTTTTTTATTACTCTTCATTTCCTGAAAAAAAAAATAAACCTCTTGAAACCCTAAGTTATATCTCCGCAGTATTCTTGACAATCTCTGTGGCGCACCCTTATGTTGCTAAACAAAAAAATGGCTCAGAAAGATTTGTTGGGATTACTGAATGATGTTTTGTTTTTAAAAAAGAAGTACTATATGTCTTTTGCAAAAAATATAGGCATGTGGCTTTAGTCTGATCTTTACTGCTTATTTTCATGATGGTTTGAATGACTATCAGTAATCAACATTAAGATGTTTGGGGCATCAGTAATGCAAATAATGCAAAATAATAATAAAATCATCTCACAATGAATGATCCTGACCCGAGAACTGGAGATACTGTTTTTGTTCTAGCTTTATTTATATTTTATTTACACCAGTATGTACATATCAATCATTCATAATACAAGTTTGGGACTAATAACCTCAGCTTTCCAAGAGAAGAAATTGACAGATAAATTAAAAACAATAATATGGGGGAGCTCAAATTGGGAAGAAACATGGCAAATGGCAGACCCTCCTTGAATTCAGGAAAGAAAGAAATAACTTAGAAATAACCCATAAATATTTTGAATGGTTGCCTGAGCCTTTCAGATGTAAATTAGACAGGATTCTGTCAAGCCAGCAATGTGTTTAAATGAAGTGTATCTGAGAAGAGTGGGAAAGGGCTGATACAGTAGATTATATGCCCAGTTCAAGAGAGTACTTTTTGGTTCCTGGTAAGTAGGGATTATTCTGTAGAGTTGCTCTGTGCTTGAAGTGAAGGATGTAGACATCACCTGGTGGGGTTTCTTGCAATTCTTTCTCTTAAAAACTTGTGTAAGCGCCAAGGACTAGATTGAGATAAAATAATGGAGCTTTGTTCTATAGCTAAATATACAATCATGCTTTGCTACTGCCTTGTAAGTCTCTGCATCCATTTCCCCCCTCCACAGCCATCAGCCCACACAACTGCAAGCAGAGGCTGAGAGTTTCTCCACTTCGTGCCACTGGTGGCTGTCATCTAGAAAAGCTACATTCTCATAGTGTATAGGACGGCAGCAGGGGTTTCCCAATGCTGGGATCTCACTCTTCTGCAACAGAATTGAAAGGGCCAGGTCATGATTGCTGTGTGCCTTGGGACAGGTCCCACTACAATACTTGAAAAGGATGGTCTCTTCAGAGTTGTAGCCCAAGCTTAGATCTTTGATACGAACCAGCAGACTTCGTAATTGACATTCTTGTTCCTCGGGTCTCTCCCACGTATGCCTCTTTGGACGGATCCTGGCTAGGCCAGAGAACAATGGGGTTGAGCGGTTTAAAGACTTGTTCCGGAGAGTTGTGGCACTGGTGAATGTTCCTTTAAAGGACTGTGTTTCTGTAATGAGAGGAAGAGAAAGAAGTAGAATGAAAAGAAGAATGGACATCATCTTACATAATCTCTTGTTGGAGCTACTTTGAATAGGAGCACTAGCCATTAGTAGATTTAAGCATCTAAAATGTTTAGGCCTTATATTCTGTCCTGGAAAGGATTGTATGTGTATTGTTCTGAGTGTGTGTGTAAGTTTGAGAGTTGAAAATAAATAATTCATCTAGCTTGTATATAATACATCAGTGTTTTGCCCTTGCTTGGTTGGATTAGAATAACTAAAGAAATCTAATTCTGGTTGGTGGATAGACTCAACCACAGTATTTTGATGCTTGCAATACAAAGTCCAAGTTCTGTTCCCTTAGCATAGTACATAAGAATAAGAAATGGGATAAGACACAGAGGATACTTCCTTATTGTGTACTCCTTAAGGTAATAGTTCTAAGTTCCGTGCATCTGTTTTATCTTTTCATTATTGTCTGTTTTGTGGAAAAGAAAACCATGGAAAAAGAGATGGGGAAAAAAGAATGTTGCAAATAGAACATGTAGTCAGGAACAACATAAAGCAGTGTGAATGTATAATAAATAACATTTGGCAACACCTTCAGACATTTTCCTATTAATGTTAGTGTAGTCATATCTTAATACAGTTAGTGCTTTCTCAATCTGTGATGAATTACTGTTAATGTCTGATATCTCTGAATAAAACCATAGAGAGTAGTAGAAAAAGATTATGAAGAGCTAATGCCTAGTAGTAGTCTATGTGGTCCAATTATCTGACCTAGGGTAATGCAGTTTATATGCCCCAAAGTAGAAATATTCAGTGGATTAATCCATATGCACAGGCTGCTTTAGAATTGCTAATTAAGATATTAATTAGCAATGGGCTCTATTCTGGGCCCAGTACTCTTCAACATCCTCATCAGTTATTTGGACGAGGGGATCGATGGGGAACTTATCAAATTTGCAGACAACACCAAGCTGGTAGGAATAGCCAACGCTCCAGAAGATAGGCTTAAGACAGGGCTCTTCAACCTTTCCAGGCTCTCAGACCGGAAGGAGAGCAGCTTCAACATTGGTGCATGTACACGCACAGGGCCACATACACTGGCGCGGCACTATCGGGCCCGTTCACGTATGCACTGGTGCCATGCGCATGCACAAACAGCCACGCACCCTCCCCTGCGGCAGCTAACAGCCCATTCACACATGTGCAAACGGGCTGCACAATCCACCCAGGCTAGCGGCCCTATTCGCACATGCGCAAACGGGCCATGGACACTCGCCCTGTGCTAGTGTCCCCGTTCGCACCCATGCGCATGTTCAAATGGGGCTGCGGGCACTAGCACAAGTGGGGAATGTGCGCCCACACGTGTGCACACTGGCCAGCCATTTCCATGGCCTGCTGACCGGGGACCCCTGGATTAAGATACAGAAGGATCTTAACAGACTTGAACACTGGGCGCTATCTAGCAAAATGAAATTCAATGGTGAAAAAAGTAAGGTTCTACATTTAGGCAAGAAAAACCAAATGCACAGGTATAGTATAGGTGGTACCTTGCTCAATAGTAGCAACTGTGAGAGGGATCTTACAGTCCTAGTGGACAATCACTTAAATATGAGCCAGCAGTGTGCTGCAGCTGCCAAAAAAGCCAACAGAGGGACAGAATCAAGATCACGTGAAGTATTAATACCACTTTACAATGCTTTGGTAAGGCCACACTTGGAATACTGCATCCAGTTTTGGTCAACACACTGTAAAAAAGATGTTGAGACTCTAGAAAGAGTACAGAGAAGAGCAACAAAGATGATTAGGGGACTGGAGGCTAAAACGGTTGCTGGAATTGGGTATGTCTAGTTTAATGAAGAGAAGGACAAGGGATGACATGATAGCAGTGCTCCAATATCTCAGGGGTTGCCACAAAGAAGAGGGAGTCAAGCTATTCTCCAAAGCACCTGAAGACAAGACAAGAAGAAATGGATAGAAACTAACCAAAGAGAGAAGCAACCTAGAACTAAGGAGAAACTTCCTGATAGTTAGAACAATTAATCAGTGGAATGAGTTGCTTCCAGAAGTTGTGAATGCTCCAACTCTGGAAGTTTTTAAGAAGAGACTGGACAGCCATTTGTCTGAAATGGTATAAGGTTTCCTGCCTGAGCAGGGGTTGGACTAGAAGACCTCAAGGTCCCTTCCAACCACCTCCTCCTCCTCCTCCTCCTCCTCATCATCATCATCACCACCACCACCACCACCACCACCACCACCACCACCACCACCACCACCACCACCACCACCATCATCATCATCATCATCATCATTATTATTATTATTATTATTATTATTATTATTATTATTATAATATTTCAAATGATTAGTTTTTGCCTTTTAGGACCAACCATTAACAGTAAAGGAACAAACAGTCAAGAAATATGCTGGAAACTATAGCTTGGTAGTATAGCAATGAAGGCCTGTAGAAAATACTTGGATGACATGATGTAGAAAGATTAGAATAGTTCAAGTAATAGTATTCCCTATGACAATGTATGGAAGTGAAAATTGGACTTTGAAGAAGCAGGATTGAAAGAGTATTAATGCTTTTGAGCTGTGTTGTTGGAAAAGATTTCTGACAATACAGCCAAAGAAACAAAAAGTTATCAAACAAATCAAAAAGGCTTGTTTTTCTGGATAAGGCTGTATTACTGGAATAGGTGGAATGAAAGAGAGAAAGATGATGAATGGATTCAGTTCAAGTGGTGATGGTATACCATTGGAAGACCTGAAAGACCAGGCAAGTAGATATCATTATAGAAAAAAATCTACCCATGTACTTGCTGAGTTGACACTAATTTGATGTCACATAAATCAGTCAATCAAAATTGCACATGCTGCTCTTTCAGTGTCATTATTATGTTATCATTATATCAAGTCATATTATTAAGCAGGCTATCAAGAAAATAATTTTCATTTTTTTGCCTATCTAAGAAAGGCAAAGTGTGGAGTTGGGTCAAGACAGCTAAAAAAGCCATCCTTACAAAGCTAAAATAAAGTAATGAGCGTAGATTAGACTTCTAGGAATGGATTTAATCAGCAAAAATGGTACCGATGAAAGGGAAATGATTTGCATTCCTTTTTAACATTGTTATTTAAATAGTTCTCTCATCTTTTTGGGATATTCATTATTGAATCCTCAGTCTCGTAGCATGGCTATCAATTTCTATAATCAACAAAAAACATACAAAACCAGGTTGTCTAATAATAGGCTGTCATTGCAACATTTATATAGTTTGAAGTTTTTGAAATATCTTTCAATTTTGTATCTCTATAATTATATTCATTCTTTAAAATAATTTTTGTTTCTTTTGTTGTGTAGTTTAGGCCACTTAGAGAGTTATAGCTAAGGTAAGATTGAAATAAGGAATGTAAACCTCATACTGGTATGCCATCAGTAGTTCCAGGTATTTAAAAAAGAAGCTATTCAGATATATAAAACAAGGGACATAAGTGGATCCAGTTTTTTCAAAAGGAAAAGCATAGATTTCTCAGCCTTGTTTCCAGTAGAAGGGGTCTAGAACAGTGGTTCTCAACCTTTTTAATGCCGCGACCCCAACCGATCGTAAGTCGAGGACTAAACTGGTCGTA